GAACAAGAAAACCGTGGAATAATACCTAGAACTTTTGAACAGATTTTCCAGACTATTGAACAATCAAATAATAAGCAATATTTAGTGTTTTCTTCATACTTGGAAATATATCAAGAAGAAATTCATGATTTGTTAGAAGCAAAATCTAAAGGAAAGTGTGACCTCCGTGAAGACAAAGATGTTGGTGTTTATGTTAATAATTTAAATAAATATATTTGCAAAAATGTCCAAGAGATCTTAAAAGTTATGCAAGAAGGTAACAAAAACCGAACAATTGGTGCTACCGACATGAATGAACACAGTTCTAGGAGTCATGCTATTTTTACGGTTACTGTTGAAATAAAAAGTTCTACTGAACGTATACGGGTTGGGAAATTGAATCTCGTTGATTTAGCAGGTAGTGAAAGACAGAGTAAAAGTGGAGCCACCGGTCAAAGGCTTAAAGAAGCTGGGAAAATAAATCTTTCACTATCTACTTTAGGAAATGTTATACACGCACTTATAGAAGAAAATTCCTCGCACATCCCGTACAGAGATTCCAAACTCACTCGATTATTACAAGATTCATTGGGAGGTAATTCAAAAACATTGATGATCGCTAATATCGGTCCAGCCAGTTATAACTGGGATGAAACACTTACAACTTTACGCTATGCTAATAGAGCAAAAAATATTCATAATGCACCACGTGTCAATGAAGATCCAAAGGATGCTTTGATTAGACAATATCAAGATGAGATATCAAAGCTACGCAACATTTTAAATGAAAAATCATCCAAAAAAGTTCCTACTAAAAAGGGAAAACACGAGGAAAAAAATTACGATGTGGAAAATCTTCAAGAACATACAAAATTTTTAGAAAAACAACAACAAGATTTAAATGAAAAACGTAACAATATATTGGAAAATAAAGACAATTTATCTACAGATGATCAAAATAGAATGTTGTACGATATAGAATTAGAAAAAGCTAAAGTAGCTGAAGAAATGGATTTTATGGCTTCATTGATTACTCGTATTCAATCCATGGAAAGCAGTTTGTTAAGAGGAGGAAAGTCTATTACAGATCATTTATATGAACAACAAAGTCAAATTGATAAACGTAATAAAGAAATTCAAGAAGAAATAAAAATGGAACAGGAGCTAGCCAAAAATTTAGAAGAAATTGCTGGTTATACTGAGTCAATTAGGGAAACCTATTCAACATTGTTAGAAGAAGTAGAATCCAAACAAGCTAAATTTGACAAATTAATGCTTCTTTATCAAAGTCTTAAAGGAGAATTAAAAGTTAAAGAGGATGAATATTCAAATCAACGAAGAGACATTGAGTCTAATCAAGAAGCAATGACTCGTCAATTAAAACTTGGTAACATAATTATGTCAAATTTTATACCTCAAGATGAACTTCAAAGTGTCAAAGATAGATTGTATTATGATGATGATACTAATGAATGGCGCATGGTTAGTAATCAATTAGAAGGTCATACACGTGGCTGCATTAATGGTGTGATTAATACAAGAAGGAATGAGAATCTAATAACATTAAATTTACTTACACTCGAGCATAAATTAGAAGAGTATAAGAAACCAGAAATTTCACCTTCATTATTATCAATGCTTGATGAAGCATTAAAAGTTGAGGACGATCTGCAGGTTGATGCATCTATTGCTGAACGGCCAAAAAGCGTACGCAGTGCTGTTGGACCAAAGATTAAACCCGCTTCAAATAAAAACTACCCAAGAGCACGAGGCTTGATACCAAAATAAAATGTTTGCTGGATGCTCGAATTTGTGCACCAAATAAATATGTTGTTAATTTTATAATATTTAAATACTAACAACTACTATTAAATAAGACTGCATTGTTAAATTTATATTCTGCTCACTGATATTATGTAATAAGTACCTAACACTTGTAGGTATATTTATTTATTTATGTTTTGCTTTTGTATGTTCTTTAACATTCCTAGTCACTTATAAGAAAAATTAATTTTATTTTGTTTCCTATTTTCTATTATTAATATTTTGCTTTACAATCTCAATTGTTTTTTAATTGCTTCTTGCAAAATTAGTCCTAATCAAAACTAACATAGTCATATTGTCTAGTCTTTCAGCACAATGAATGACACTAATAAATTATATTTCATACTATCTATTTCTTATTTGTTGTTTATTTATTCTTAACCTTTTCTTATATCACATGTAAATATGTTTGAATGTGTTTGTCAACATAAACGTTTTCTAGGCGACAACCTAAGAGTCTAGTAAAACCAGTTGACTCAAATAAATCAGATCTTCAAGATAAATATGTTAAGAAACTCGAAAGCCAAAAATCCCATGCAACAAGGCACATTTTCCTTATTAGACATGGGCAGTACAATCTATCTGGTGAGACTGATGGAGAAAGGAAGTTGACTGAACTGGGTATGTATCTTATTTCTATGAATAATAACAAATGTTTGTGCCCAAAGAGAACAGTTGGATATGAAACATAAAATTTGATATTAAATACCAGATTATTATTATTATTATTATTATTATTTTTAATACCATATTATTAACCAGTAGCTTGATAAAATTATTTGTTACAATATGAAAAATTGTACTTACTAGGTGGTGATGAAATAAATTTAATAAAGTTACTTTAACTTAATAAAATATTATAATCACCTAATTTGATGATGTTACTCTTAGAACATTCACACTTATAATTGTAAACATATTTATAAACAATTAAATAATAATGTTTTTGTTATTTTATTTTTTTATTATCTTCTAGTATATTATATATTTTTAAATTAATTTGCTTTAAAAAAATATTCACTTGCAGGAAGAAAACAAGCTTTATTCACTGGTGAGCGATTGAGTGTATTGAATTATCCTTGGACTACGATTACTCAGTCAACTTTGACCCGAGCAATGGAAACTTGTTCAATAATCCAAAAACAATTGCCTGCAAATATACCCCTGACATCATCTGATTTGTTAACTGAAGGGGCACCAGTACAACCAGATCCGCCAAGCAAACACTGGAAACCTGAGTTATATGTAAACAGAAAATAAATAAATATTTCCTTTGTGTACTATAAACCTACAAAATTGATTATGATTTTTAGCAGTTTTATAGGGATGGAGCTCGTATTGAAGCAGCTTTTCGAAAGTTCATTCATAGAGCACCACCCGAACAAGAAGAAGACTCTTATGAATTAATAGTTTGCCATGCAAATGTTATAAGATATTTTGTTATGAGGTAATTATAATATTTATTTATTATATTTAAGTATCCAATCCTTAATTTGGTTTATGATAAAAATGTTAAATCATAGGTATCTACAACCATAAATAATACCTATTATATTGTTTTGGAGATAATTGTTTGCCACTTAAAAAAATATTTAGTATGTTCTTGCCTTAATTGAATATTATTGTGTTCTAGATCATTGCAGTTGACTCCAGAGGCATGGTTACGTTTGAGTCTAGATCATGCAAGTATTACATGGCTTTCTATTTATCCCAATGGAAGAGTAGCCTTACGATGTTACAGTAATTCAGGGTACATGCCACCAGAAGCTATTACTCATTAAACACTAATTACAAATGTTTGACTTAGTATCAAATGAATTAAAAGTACTGAAATCCTATACTTATTTTATTATCTATTTGAGTTAAGCACAAAACAATTTTTTCCATGTCTATATTAAAAATTTAATTTGTGATGCCGGTTGAAGCATTGGGAGGTAACATTTTTCTGTCAAGTGAACAGTAAAATATGCTGTGTGTTGCCTGTTGACTGTACATAGCAGGCAAAAAACTGTAAATCTGTTAGTATACGTGTAAATCTACTAAATTTAAGAAATGAGTTGGTGGTTTATACTCTTGCTGTTTTAGGAAACATCTTTGCAAATCTAATTCTGTATCTTAAATGACGAGAAGATAATGTTATAAAGATTCTCATTCATGAAGTCAATCAAATTAAAAAAAGTGTTTTTACAATCTTAAATGTATTGTATTAATTCTGTTGAAAGGTTAGAGATCTCCTGTGGTGTCAACTTTATCCTCATGTTATTTATTATAATAAGAATTTGAGACTGATTATAGAAATGTTGACAAAAAAACTATATATTATAGTCATATACGATATAATATAAATATGTAATAACTAAATTAATTAAACAATTTTAAATTATATCTTATTATTGATACGTTAAAAAAAAAAATACTCGTTAATTATTTTGATTGACTGCATAAGTCTACCATCAACTTTTTAAAGTAAGTATACTAAGTTATGAAATGTTTCTCAGTTTTTAATAATGTGTTTGAGTGGATAATAAAAGGGTTGAGAGAGATAAGCCCTCCACAGTTGTTTTACATATATTATTTAGCAAAGGAATGCAATTTTTTGGTTGTTCCATCAGAGGTAAAGAAGGTAATATAAAACTTATGAAATAGTTTAGTAAATTAATTTTAAGGTAAAATTGTATTGTTGTCCCCAATATAACTGCTCTCCCCCCAAAAAAATGTATTGACCATATATTTTATACATATAACACAACATAATTTATTCCTGGATTTCTTCTCATTGGAGTCTTGTAAGTATAATTTTTCAATGAAACATACTTTAGGGATTCTATAATTCACATTGCACTTCAACGCCAAAAAAATAAAATCGACACCCGCGCCGCAATATAACTAGGACGTAAACCAGTATCGTCGAAACACGTTTTATACGATGGATAATAAGTAATAACCATTGTGTATATGGTTTTTAGGCGGCCAACTTTTGAAAATGGTTACATATGTATAAAATTAAAGAGTTTGCCTAGAGCGGCATAACATCTAAATTATGTTAAGTGTTTTTTAAAACATTTTTTGAAGTTCAACGGCGCTTTGGATAGGCAATTAATGTTAGTGTTAATACGACACAGTCGTTCTCACTCGTAGTGTATATCGTAACAGAATGTGTAAGTGATGTTTTAACTGAAAACTAGAAGTCATTTAGGTATCATATATCCAAACATATTTTTATGTGTTTAATATTTATGTATTACAGTTGACCAATTTCAGATTGTCGGAAAAATATCTGAATAATATACATAATTATATAAAAATAGGTACAGGCGTACAGCAGAAGTAATAAGTTCAATGTTGTGATGCTGTGTTATTTGACTGGTTTGTAAATCCTTGTGCATGTGACATTATCGGCCGTCAACGTCTAAAAAAAATACACATTAGCACAATAGCATTTAATTTTTGGCATAATATAAATAAGTTATTTATAATGATTATAATTTTGTTTTTGTTATGATATGTGAATATGTGAATGTGATAAAAGTGATAATATTTATTTTTTATTTAAAAAGGCATATATTAGGCGTATATCGACATTTTGTAGGGACTGAAAAGTTATATTTTTAAGTTGTTACACTTTAGTAGCTTATAAACCATAATATACAATTAAATAAACTATAAAGGAAATAATTTTTAGTTGAATTTGAATTATGCTGCATTTTATCCAACTGACTACATCGTTTAACCTAACCATGCAGCTAAAATGGTGCGAAAAAAAATAGTTATTTATTTATTTATATTAAATACAGGACGTTGTTAATTAATGAAAACCAATATGATACAGACATTTGAGGAACATTTAAGTTACATGATTGAATGATTCCTGACATAAAGTATGTATTAGTATTTTGAAAGACGGGTAAAATTGTCTCTTAGGTTCTCTATTTTACTTTTACCCGCCTTTCCCCTTTGTATAGTTATTATGATACAGTATTTGCATGTAAGATGTTTTGTAAATATTATAGTTTAAATTATTGTGATATCAACCACGTATCAATCGTATCATATCGTTTCTATAATCGTATCCAAAAATAGTTCCAACTTTAGATTCTTAGTGAAGCGAGGAATGTATTGATTTTACAATGAAATGCGTTGTGTAATTTTGTGTGTTCCACAACTATTTTTAGTTGTAAAAATGTTTCGATCTTCAACTTTAAATATCAATATATTTTCTGGCGATTGAAGTTGGAGGGGGGAGGAGGAGAAGTTAAAAATAATGAAGGATCTAATGATTGAGGATAAATAGGGAACAACAGAAATATTTAAGCAAAACCAGTTTTAGACAAAATCGATTTGTTCTTTTGCTATTATTTTAAAACAAACAACTGTAGATGTATTTGAATTTATGTTCATAAAATGTTAGACATGGTACAATTTTATGTGGTTATCGGCTGACTATACTGTGCCTATTAACCACAACTGGGGTTTAGAAAGTAAATTTGTAATTCATTTTAAAATTACTCGATCACCACCACAGATGGAAATCGTAAATCCATCACAGCTACAATAAAATTACTATGTTACCTACCGAAGTTCTTAAATTTTGTTGTCTCCGTCCTACACTCCTACCATCGCGTAAACTAACATATTTATATTAAGTAGAACGACAGGTTTATTTTAGTTGTTTTAACGATTTATTAAATAGTATAGACTGATCATAACATTTAAAGTTACCTAACTATAATATCCCTATTTTCTCAATAAGATGTTAAGGGCTTGTAAGACGACGGCGGTGACAATTTGGGCAAGAGGCTTTTATAGTTCATATTTATTTTATTCAATTTATCATAATTGATTATCAGTCGTTAAGGTTAATCCGATAGTCGTATCCATGACTGTGGGTAGTATCACATAATTTATATCCCAGGGCATAACATATAAAAATGTATAATATGACATTGTGTTGTAATTTGTAGGTAATATATTATTATATCAATTATTGATGATTTAAATCGATTAATATTTTAATTTAATGTCACACTGTCAAAAAATATTTTAACAACAATTTAAATCAAAGAAGATCATCAACTCCCTTTCCCTAAAAACAAAACATACATAATTATTATATTTGCCCTGAGATCATTAGATTGGATGGCCTTAATATGTTACCCCTGAGCGTAAAATGTTCAAATACGGCACTAGTCAGGAAAAGGGGAAGAGTGTTTACTTTATAAACATTTTATTCATTAATATAATATAAGTATTACCATTTTCAGTTGATCGGGTTCAAATTCTCTGATTATCGTCGTCTCTTTCCTGTAGCCAGAACTTTTTTGGAAGTGCACCAGCTTGTTGCCTTCCTGGGTGATGATTGACTTCACTCTATGGGCATCTAATGTCTCTTCGTCGAATTCCTCGTCAAGGTTAAACTCGATCGAAGTGTTTCTGATCAACGTGGTGCACGTCAACATGTATTTACCATCCTGCTTTTTGGTCAGTTCCACCACCGGGGTCATGACTTTGGCCAGCGTGCGCATAGCATGCATGACACCTGCAGAAAACGCACATACATAGAATCATTTGCCAAAATAAGATACAAATTTATTATAACTTAAGCGTTTATTGGTAATTATATTATTTATAAAAGTTATAATATACTTACTTATTATTATTGCTATTATATTAATAGTTCCTAATTCTTATACATAGTATATGATATCTATTACTTATTTAGTTATTTATATGATTGTTCATTCACGAAAGGAGATAAGTCATAGTTTTGTTTAAAATAAATATGTTCTGTGACTATAGACAAAGGCTGCCCAATTTATTTTGGAAGCTGGCTATAATTTCAATTACAGTTAGCTGGCGGGCCATCTTACGGACAAGACTTTCTTACTCTTATGATTCATCTTTGGTTCTATATTCTACATATAGATACTTAAATAAATAGGTAAAAAGAAACACCAATGATACCTATGAAGGGACTTATTAGCTAATAATTTTTCAATATCTGGTGGTGATGAATCTGATGTTAATGATAATATCAAATCTGAAATACGAGGCACAGTTAACGTACTGCGATATTTATTTTTTACATAGGTTAGAGTAGAAAAAGCTTTTTTGCAAACATATATTGATCCAAATCTGCAAGGCAAGATCACACATTGCAAGGAAGTCTTCTTTTGATACTAACTTCCAAAATTCAGTGAGAATTGTATTCAATTTTCTGAAGATGCTTCTGTGGTTGTGATGATACATTTCGAAAAATATCTGCTTCAAGGAAATGTGGTTTTGAATTTCTGTGATTTTCAGTTGGATATTAGATGAATTTAATGAAATAATAATGATTATTTAAAATACAAAAGAATGTTGACATACGGGCCACTTTGTAGCCCACTGGCCTGGGTTTGGGCAGCCTTGCTATAGACGGATCGTTTATTTTTGAAAGAACACAAATTGTATGATAATTCTCTTTATTATGCCTTTCAAACAAGATTGGTATTTCTGTTGATGATTTATATATTTTATAAAAAAATTTTGCAAAGTTATAATAAAATATTTTACTAAAGTAATTATGGAACAGTATATGGAGATCAATAATCTCGTTTATGATGATTTAGTAGTTTTATTTATGAACAATTTTAGTTTAACTCATTTGCTTATGAAAGGTGTTAAGTAACATGTTTCCTTACGAAAAGTCAAAAGGGTCAAAGTCGTTAAGTTTAAACTTTAACTGTTAGTTACAAAATAAATTTGAAAACTTGGTATTTCCAAATGAAAAATAAATGTAATAGTGCATAAGAATTAAAAAGTATCTTTTATAATGTTTTTTCAAGTAAATTTTACTTACGTGCAAAACAGTTATTTTTAATTTCCTGAAAGTCTTACCCTTTAGGACTAAGCCCCTTTCATAAATAAGCGATTCGTATACCTACGCTATATATATGTTAGTTGTACTAAAACATAATATTAATAGGCGCTGATCTCATTTTCGGGATATCATATTATTGAATATTGATCCTGAATCCTAATGGCTATGCGACATGTATTATGATCGAACGCGTTGTTCGACGGCATACCAAAACGTCCAAAATGTATTAAATAATTAATAGGTAACGGTGGACAAAGGTCTTCATTTTATCGATAAAATGAAATACATGGAATTCAAATTATGGATTTGTCTATTCACTCTGTTAATGTTGAGACTTGTGTCTGTCCTTCAGAAAATATGAGCTCTCGCTCTCGTGCACGGTGCATGAACATATATAGGTGGTATATATTATACACAGTAGGTACATGCAATATGATGTATAAATTATTATATTGAACTGTTATGAGGATAGCGGACTATTTGTTCAACTTCAAATCGGCATATTACAATAAAATTGTATTATTGTTATGATGTGTCCGTATCTTTATTCATTAGGTACCCGGCTACCTCATTAGTCATTTTTTAATGTAGATCAACAAGCGTGGCTCACTATATTATCATATAGTATATTATGTCATAAGTAATAATTGTAAATTATTACAATGTGTATAATGCTTTTATATAGTACCTACTTATAATATAGGACATAGGTAGTTATGTGTATCATATCATCACGTATTTTCAGCAATACCTAAATGGCGCTAAGACGTACAATCATAGGTATGTTGTTGTTGCAGTTTTCCTATGCGATTCAAGGTCGAATAAATGTTTATTAAAATGTATAACTATTTTTTGTATTACCTACGAGGGACCTGTAGTGTATACGCGAGAATATCGGTGAACATTGTTTAATATAGAGCTCTAATAAAATAAATACCTACCCATTAACCCATTCTCTAATTCAAATAAAAATTGTTATTTCAACTTTTTAATTGTTAAACGTAATGCACCCGTAATATATTACGGCAAGTCTGTAATGTTGGAGCATTCAGTTACTGCAATCATTTTCGTACCGATCCGACCAGTATAATATGTAATAATATATTGTACTCAAGAGCCAAGTCTAATGTATCGGATATCACTGTAATTAAACACATTATATGTTACCACACGCGTCCGGAGTACCTATACCTATTTATTTTTAAATAATTTAATAATTAATATAGTAAATACTAAATTATTGTACTGAATCATCGGATAACACGAGGGTTCAACGGTAAAATAATCATCACAATAACAGTAATACCATATGGATATTATGCATTACATACCTACCTGTAAGGCTATAAATAAGTATGGTAATTAAATACTTATCAACGTAAAAATACTAAAGCAGTTATACTGCGAACATAAATTATATTTAGTATTTACATTTCTTAAATCACAATAATTGTGTACACCGATTCAATCTCGAGTAGAATAATTAAGATTAGATTAATAGTATAATAATAAATTATATTGACGTACTATAAATCCAAAAAATCTTTAGGTAATAAAAAATGTAATTTATATTTTATAAAATCTTTTGATCAATATTTTATTTTACTCTAAGGAAAATTTAACTATGTAAATATAATTTCACAAAGACGATTCGTGTAAATTTGACAGTTTAAAATTCACGACAATCCATCTATTGTACAATCAAGTCATTACTTCGATCGAGGGAGTCAGGGAGATTATGATGTATATTAGAGACGGATTCATTTATAACTCAATTTATGTTTACGACGAAACTTAAATATAAATTTTATTGGCACGAAAAGGAATCAATTTTGATTTACGACTCCATGGGGCAAAGTATTTTGAACCTAATAGCAATCAATTTTTTTTTAAGAACAGCGAACTATTGCAGTTACCAAATTATGTTATTCTTATCAATACTTAATTAATGTTGAGACGTTTACGGTTTACCTATTACTTAATTGAGTGAATATAATACATTTGTAATAATAAGCGATGATTTTTGCATTTTACTTGATATGAATATGGTAATTGGTACGGTGCATACTATAGTTGCCTCCCATCTTTATCGTAAAATATATATAAAAAGGTTAAAATACACGACTAGTTACCTCCGGTGATCAGGTAGTTCATAATTATATACGAGTTGTCTCCTAAGAATTTTCACACTAGTTGCCTCCTGTATAGAATTAAGAAGAGGTTCATAAACTTCACTATAATACACCATGTGAGGACACACGTCATGAGTTAAAATTATAAAAACTAATTTTACAGTAACATAAAATTGTATGCTTGATTATAAATGAATAGTCTTGAGTAATCCAACATTTATACAACAATTACACAACCTTCAAAATAATAATATAATAAGTCAATACAAAACATTTGGTAGTATCTACAATTATCAATTAGCCAATAAAAAAATATATGGTTATATGTATAATTGGTTGATAAAAAAAAATTGTTATTAAGTTGCTTATATTTATATTTTTTAGCTAAAACGTTGAGAACTGCCCATTGGGAACTGGGAAGCGAACAGTACAAGACCCTTAATTTAAATCTACAATCCAGAAATGGGTATATCTCGAGTTAATAAATTAATACTGTTTTCGATAGACTGTGATAGTGTGCCTAAAAAAATTGCTTACTTATCTTCTACAAATTTTCTGTTCGCTTAAGTTTTAAAATTCTGTATGATATTAATATGACAAAATAAAAGTAGGTAGGCATATTATGTTTATGATAGATAATATATTATTATAGATTGACAACTTACCCAGAGCTTTACAGTATTCGTCAAAATTGTCGCTGCTTTCCAGCTTGTACTTTTTATCGAAAATCAGAGACATTCTATACTATTCGATTCTACTGACTTGAATACAATATAAAACTGGTTCAATTTTTCTTTCGGCGCGGCGGTCAGATGATTACTGCACACGCGTGTAAAGGTAACGCGCGAATTTATAGGCCACAGCTAATATGAACTTTATGTTCAATAATTCATGTCTGGTCGGGGGATTTTATTTGTTCAGTAAAGGAACGTAAACAATATTATATAGCAATACATTAGATGTTTTTAAGATTATCTTATTTTTTTAAATAAAGTATTTATCTATAAAATATCAGTAACACGATTACATAAAATAATATCATAGGTATATTATATTCTTGAATGCATGTACAACTTTCGCCTTTATTAATATAAATCAGTTGAGCCAATTAAAATTATTATCAAAGTACACCGGTACTTAATTCAGTTATAGAAAAACAAACGCCTCGATGATAATTTTGAAATGTTATGAATTTTATTGAATTTACAAATTTCGAATGATATAAGCCAAAATTAAATTTTTACTGTATTCACAGTAATCTTAGATGAATAGCCGAACAGACTGCTTTTCATCCTGGTATATTCAACCCCTAAATCTGGTTGCTTAAACACGAATTTATCTCCTAAAATATGAAAATTGATTTTTTGTTTGTTGATTTTCTGGTTGCTATTAGATACACTCAAGGAATGTTTATAACGCTGTATTATGATTATGCTTATAATTATTTTTGATTATCATGTTTTTTATGTACATATAATTATCATATATCAATTATCATCCACGATTTGAAAGTAAAATATATTTTATGAAGATAAATAAAAAGGTAATTTAAAATTTAAATGATTAAATTTAAAAAATCATACGTACCTATATTTAAAATAAATAATTGAACTCAAATCCCGATTGAATTTAATTTATATAAATTATATTTGTTTTTCACGTTATTGTTTCTCTTCTCCTCCATAACCGCTGATTGGATTTGACCCGGTTTTTCACTGTTTGATAGTTTTTTTATTGTTTTATTTTTCGATTTACACTCACAACGAAACGTACCTAAATAAACATTTTATTGACATACGAAAGGGGTCAATAGGGATTACTTATTTTCAAATGAGATTTATCTGCGCTAGCGAATCGTTTTCAACACTTATTGCCCCAAATACCTATCTGTATAGTTTCTTCAGCTGAGTTTTAACCGTAAGAATACTGATGCCATAGACTCATAGACCTAATCCCTGTAATCGGAGAATTGAATGGTGTAAAGTAATAGAAATACACTAGCAGCTACAGCGACATGTCAACAAAATCTAGGACCGAATTAAAGACCGTGTTCAAAATTTGTGCTTTCATATTTGGTTTTTGGTTTTTTTCCTGGTGTAGGCACGGACACTCACAATCAATTTCCTCAAGGAGTTATATTTAAGCCGTTTAGTTAATACCTTTACACTAAAATCGAAATAAACCAAACTCGGCAGTAGTTACGTATTCAATCCACTCTGGACGGATTCATCGTCTTGGTCGGATGTTGGTCATCAAAGCGAAGTACAACAATATTATGTGCACCGACTTGCCCGCGAATAACACCGTTCAGCGAGGAACGCGCTAATCATAAAACACCGAGCACTGTATTTTGAATCGATTTATTTTTCTTCTGGAAAGTCGGGTAATATAGCTAGTATGATATGATAAGTATATGTTAAAATAGATGTGGCGTATATAAAATAAATAATTTAAAAACATAAGACCAAAATTAAAAATGTTTTGACTGTTTATTTTCGTGTAATCGCATCATATTTAACACAATTATATTATGTGAGCAGTGTAGGCAGTGGGCCAAATTTTTCATAGGACTGCAGTGAATATCCAAATCCACTGAATTGTTCACCAATGTAATATATTATTGTAATATTGTATCCTAAGTATTTAGTCGACTGGTTTGTAGATTCTGGTGCAGGTGATTCCGTCGATAGTTAGGGTCTAAAAACACATGAGACATAATTAATACAACACATTAACGAAATGAAAATGTTTAACCCGACCAACGATCAACATAATTTTGTAATAACATCTAAAACACGTCGATCGTCGCTATATAGTACACGATCTAAGTAGGTATACAATATGTAACAGAATAAGACTTGGCAAATTAAAAAACTTTTATTCTAATCAATTTTTAATTTTTTTTTTATATATATTATATAATTTATAGGCGGTTGAGTTACAAGTACAGTATACATTTTTTTTTTTTGAAAATGAAAAAGACCCACTTTTAAATCTAATTCATAAACAAATTTGGACCTTAAAAATGTTTATATAAATCAAGTACCTACCTAGTTTATTTTCACAATTCTTTTAAATCGATATTTGTTGGTGTACCTACCTAAATTAATTCGAAACGTGTGTACCAAATAACTTTTTTCAAAAAATCTTTTTGGGAATTTCCTGGTGTAAGTTTATTTCTTATATTATTTATCATCCATTTAATTTTCTCCATTTTTGTACTATGTAACTACGTTTAGCTAGTACTTTTATTTGTCAGATCTTTCTGCTACACTCTGTGTTATTCAACGTGCAATAAGCGAGTGTGTGTGTGTGTGTGTGTGTTTATGTGAGGGAGAGAGAGAGAGAGAGAGAGAAAGAGAGAGAGAGTGAGAGTGTAAGTGGATTTTGTCATTAGTTTTGTACCATTTTCAATTCATCGGGATTGAATTCTCTGACGATTGTGGTGTCGCTATGCTTGTCGGATTTCTGAATGTGCACCAACTTATTTCCATCCTGTCTGATGATTGAATTAACTTTGCGGTTGTCAATCGTCTCCTCGATGAATTCCTCATCGAGGTTGAACTCGATAAATGAGTTTTTCATAGTTGAGATCGATGTCAACACCAATTTACCGTTCTCCTTTTTGATCAGTTCCACCACCGGAGTTGCAGTATTGCCCAATGTACGTTTTACCAAACCGACGCCTGTAAAAAACAAACATTTTTTTAACTATCTTCTCTGATATGCATAGGCAAAGAACGCTCACGCATGTCATAAATTAAAATAGGTATACAGGATATGCGACACACGCCCCCATCGATTTTGTGGCACAGTATTTAAAAAAATTCCAGTGGTAGTCTATATCAAGAGAGCCAAACTTTTTTTATTTATTTATTTATTCATGATAACGGACTTAAAATCCAAATCTTTAAGTCTAACAATATAGGTACAGCAGTTGATATGAAGGAAGTTTAAATTAAAAATTGAAAAATAATACAAAAAGAGAGAGAGCGAAAAAACATGGAGAATTTTATAGATAAACAATTATACAGCAGTTAATAAAAAAAAAATAAAAAAATAATATATAATGAATAAGATCTACCGAGAATATAACGTTTTTCCTTGAAGGACGTTACAAAATAGTTTCGTTCTAACACTAATATTAATAATAAACATAGTACACACCCATAATAATACTTATGTAAATAATAAAATCAAAGTGTAAAGTTATCAAAAATGAGTGTTTCACATTAAATTTCTAAATAATTTCAAAAGAAATTAACAGTATAGGTAGGTACTGTTGGCTTATAGAAGCGTGTCATTGCATGTCGTTGGCCTGTTAATTAATCTGGAAAATTGCAGAGAACTGCTAAACGAAGACGTTGATCTAAACATTATCGTCAGGTAAAGTGGAGTTCTGTAATATTTAGCTTTTATAGAAATTTCGCGTGAGAAATTGCCATTTTACATAAACAGGTTAATCCGAAATATATAGTATATTACTAAATGTTTAAATAAATATAATTTTTAATAATGGAGGATCGGCTTTGAGATATTCCGAGATCAACCTCCATGCCCGCCCCTGGTCTGTATAATACATGTTATGAAGGTGTATAGAGACTTGGGACAGCGATGTATTAAAACCTCTATAAATACTACCAATACAATAATTTTAACATATTATAATATCATATTTATAATAATCATAAAATCGTAATTTAAGTGTTTTATATTATTATTGCATGATTCGTATAGTTATTTCTTATTACTTATAGGTATTAATGTAATTATACTAATATACTTATTATAGGTATTTACAACAATTAAGCTACGGTAATGATTATAATAATGATAATATGAGACACACATTTCACTTTATTTTTTTGTTAAATAAAATGTATAATAGGTATATAACATTTTAATACTTTGGTATTGATTAATATTTAATAATATGATAGGTAATATAAATTAATACAGTACCATAGTCCAATAATCCATCATTATTCGACAAAAATAACGTTTTTGTTAAATAAATTGGAATAATTTGAGAGATGTTTCAGTTTAAAACATGCATATGATAATTATATTACGTAAATATCTATATACGTAATAATGTACCTATATCTAGTTTATAGTTAAAAGTAAAATCGATTGTTTTAATGTTCCAGACAGACCGCAGACACGACATTCTATATCATTAATGAAAAATAATATGATATGATTATGCATTAATTCACCTACAATTAAATATTATAATATTTTATAGACACGGACAATAGCCTATATTGTAAGTACAGCGAAACCTCGATAACTGGTATCGGTCGGGGACAAAAAAGTCTAGTTATCGAAAGTTCGAGTTATAGAAAAATGTGCTAGCAGGTACATATTGAAACGCAGGAGCCTAGAGGGCTTCGAGTTATTATTAAGATTTGATTTAAAGTCATTTGAGTTATCAAAGTTCGATTGTATGAATTAATTCAAAAACATTTGAAAATCACGAAGAAACGTATTACCTATAAGTACAATAATTTACAATAATTATTGTACTTTATCTTTACAATAATAATCAATGTATAATAATACCTCTAATTCCACAATTTTGGAAATAACACGAAGATTAGAAAACTATTTATATCAAAAAATTATTATTTTATTTTACGATTTGCATTTACGGCGTTTGGTAGGTACGTCATAACTTCATAAGCATTTTATTGACACGGTCAATAGTGTTTACTTATTTTTAAATACAGTTTTATCGGGTGAATTGTATTCAAAACTATTGCACCAAACAGTTTTTTAGTTTAATTTTAGTTGATTATAGCTACTCATTAGTCAATTAGTTACGAAGCTACAATAACAGTAATTAAACGATCGATTCTAATTATAGTATAATATGTTTAAAGAATAATTATAATAGTAACATATCATGCATTTGTATTTAATTTCGATGGTCGTTGATTTTTATTTGACAAGAAAGTACAGAATAATAGTATCGACTATCTCTGAGCATACATACAGAATGATCCACCAAGCTTGCTCAACCGAAACACGAATGGCATACAAGTATAAATAATTGAAAATATAGTCCTTAAAATATACTTTCCCAGGAATCAGAATTTGAATGAATTAACTATCAAAGAGAGGGGTGAGTGAGCATGTTTGGTGGTTCACCCTGTAATCTGTATATTTAATAATAATCTGAAGAATTTCTTTATTTTTAGAGTATTACACTATTACTCACATTTCAAACAAATCGTTTTATAATTAAACCTATACAATTACAATGTCAACAGAAAACCACTTTAGATTTGCTTCAATGCATTTTAAATCAATTAACATCCCATGCAATTTGAAGGTTATTGGAAGTAATAATAATAAAAAGGTTAATTCTTACAAATTAATTTTTATAATACTCCGTATAAAACTGTATACACGAGAAAAAAAATTTAAAAATGCATGTTGTTTTCTAAATTATTAAACAGCAATAGCGGCTGATAATAATTGTATGGTCCAAAACATTTTTTTTTTATTATTATTTATTAAGTCTTTCAACAACAAAGGTTTTAACCTACATCAATTTAATATTGGAAAAACAAATTTAAACTCAAAACCTTTTCATAAGACGTCTTATTAGGACTAAAGAAATAAGTGAGTAAGAATGCTCTGAATATTATAAGAATACGTTTCTTAATCGTACGAAATAATAACTTTATCACAATATATAATTTTATTTTAAAATTAAATTTTAAAGTGTTTAATCGAATCCTCGAGAATAACGATTATAATAATTTACAACATTCTGCGGGTATTGAAGTGCTGTTTCAATATTTAAAATATGAATTTTAGAATTTATAACGTCAGTGTAATGCGTGTGTATTATTTAACGACAAATAAATTATCGTTTACTTACCCAGAGCTTTCATGTATTCGTCGAAATTTTCACTGGTGTCTAGCTTGTACTTTTTGTTGAAAATTAAAGACATTTTTTTACTGTTTTGAGTTTTCTTAAATATTATTATGGCAGGAGCACAATTTTTCGTACCGGTGATCAGGCGACTACTGACTAAAAACTAATAATATTTTACGCTCGCTCTAATAGATACCGGCATACCGCTTGATATAATATAATCGATAGTTTCTGCTATGGTAGGCATACGATAAATATATACATGACTATGGATTATCTTTTAATATAAATGTCCATAAAATTAAAAATTAAATGATACATCAAACAAACATGCCAAATATATACTTTTTGTAATTAGGTAGCTAGGTATATATAAATCGTAAAATTATTATCATTAAATAAAACCAATCAAATTAAAGCATCGTCAAGTAATTAAATCGATGCATCGAACAACATAATAATGTGATGAGTATAATTTTAACTTTTTTAGACGTATTAGACCTCTAAATAAATATATTAGTACTTTGTGTTATGATAAATAAATTATTGACTGAAGTCCTATTAACATATTTTTTTTTTATTTCGGCCAAAGTTCATAGAACAAATTTAAAAAAAAAGGAATCCAAGATGATTTTTTGGTTTTTTTTCGATGTTCTCCATGTTCTATGTTTTTTACCTGTATGAAATGATAATATTTTTGAACAAATGCAAACTTCTATGGTTTTGAATGATGATTACTGATGACCTTGTGCTAAAGACAATATTACAATATTTATTCATATTATATTAAAATAATGATGGTCCAAGTACTAACTGGACTTTTTTTTCAATATACCTCAATTTACCTACCTAAAATATATTATCATATTTTAATAAATTGTAATTTAGTAAAATATCATTTTTAGTAAGACCACAATATAATAATCCGTGGTTAAAACTTTCGGTTCTCAATTATTTTGTTGAATATTCTTGTGATCACTATTTTGTTAATTTTATTAAAACCGACAAATATGATTAAAATATCAAACACATAATGATATAAAAGTATCATATACTATTACATATTAATAGTTTATTTAATTAAGAATTCATACGTGAGCCATTAATCATTATTACAATGCACTATTATGAATTTAATATGTTATTCACTTTTTGTATAGTTCTAATAATACAACGAATATTAATTGAACCTACTTCTATTTCTTAAAATCTAATTTGTAGCTACAAAAAGGCCGTTACTTAAAAAAATAGCCAATATTAAAAAAAAATAAGAAAGTATTTCATCAACGTCTATTGAAAGAACGGTTCTGTTTAAATTCAAAAATATTAACTATCTTATTAATAATATACCATTACTCAATACTGTTGTACGTTGGTATTATCATTAATCGATTCACTTGGATTTCCATTGCATTTCTTACTAAATATTACATCGAATTATTGTAAAACTGATTGTATGTCATATTATAATTCTACATTATACATTTATATTATATTCATATTATTACTTAACATAACTTCAGTCTTTCAGTAAGTATTATATTATTCAACTATTAAAACGTATTTAAAATATAAACGTGTTATGTAAATTAGTAGAAGATGATTTTTTGATTAAGAAGGTACCTTGATTTATTCAGAATATTATAACATCGAGGGCAACGTCAATATATTTTATGTATATAAATACGGATGTTGGAACTATTATAATTTAGATATTATTTAACTTAACTGTTGAGTATACCGGTAGAGTTGCTCACTACTTGAACCGACTTTTTGGTAACTTTGTTTCAGTAAACAATTTTTTTATCTTTATTAAAGTGATTATTTATTGAATATAGTGATAGATGAGTACTTTAAAACTTAACGCAACCATAGATAATTTTAAACTGATAATTATTATCAGTAAAATTGGGTAATTAATTCAAATGTGTCAATATTTTGTTAAAATCATAAATCCTGAAAATTCCAAAACTGTAATTAATAATCTAATATGTGAGTAAAATTTAAAAGCAATAATTTGGTCAACTTTTTGAATCAAAAATTTATTCGTCAGGTTAACAATATCAATATTTTCAGTGCCAGCACAGTAAAATGCTTTGAGTCTAAAATATATTTACCATCATAATTGATACAATTATTTTTACGGTAGTAGTTTTTTAAATTTTCAAAACGTCCAATAAAATGTCCAGATCAGAATTGTCCATTTTATTTTAAAACACATGTAGTAAAAATAACACTTATGATTAGACCTTGTACTAAGTTATAAATCTAATAAAATATGCTGACCGAATAATAATGTATAAATTAATTTTGTAATAAACAGTACATCGTAATTAATTAATTACTTGATTGAAAATACAAATATTTGTTCAATAAACTGGCTTCAAAATATTGTTTAAACACTGAGTGTTACACTTAATATACATTTATGATGAAAGGTTGAAGCATATTATGATGAATATCGATCAAAGTTGAGAATAATAGGTATAGAGTATAGACTAAAGATCACGAAAATACAAAACGAAACATATTTTAATGGTTCAGTTTAGATGTGACGTACACAAATAAATTGAATGCAGTTTACACTGTAAAGTAGCAACACACCACAAAACAAATATTATAATGGTTATGAATTACGTGAGTACGTGACCAAATCCAATGGTACCTATCGAAGTCATTTCATTTTTTTTGTGCGGCACATTTATTCATTATTCAACCGTATAAGCCACAGTACACCACCGCCAAATGGTCCAATACAGACGGCTAATTGGTTAAACCGCGTGGTACTGCTCCAGAATTCCGGATGTATACCACGTTAACCGTAAATACCAACTACCATATCAACCACCACATAACCCGACATAACTTCGTAAATATATGATTAAACGCATGCACGCATAGGGATCGGCTCTGCTGTACGAGACAGTTAATAGATATATTTGACTAGGCGTACGAACTGTAGGTACAATATTGTCGTATATGTTCTGCAATAAAAATTTAACACGGACTTGTTAGATAACAATACTATGGTTCATTCGACAGTAATTATAGGAACGAGAAGCTTAAGATGATGCATACGCAGTGAACAATATATCATAAACGTTTAAAAGTTTAAAATGTTATAACGTGGTAATTAGCAAGAGAGAGCGAGGAAAGTTGATGTCACTGTCGGAAACAAATCAAACCATTTTTTATACGTAATAGCACGATACTAAAAATGACTTATTCATTTTTGTGCGATATCTTATCTTATTGTAAGTGTGAAAATATTTAGTTCTTAAGAATAATAAAAAAATTCACAAATTAAATATGAATTTAATTTATGCGAGCAAACGATACATTTTGGCGTCTACTGTTGAAGAATACAGATTTTTTATGATATTATTATCATCTGAAATATATAATTAATTAATAAATATATCTATTTACTTCAGAAGAGGTATCAATAAAGCCATACTTACACAGTTACATGTAACCCATACTACATTAAATCAGTATTAGTTGATAAAAAATAAAATGATTAATTAGCCGTTTATCATGCGGTTCAACATAATATACTATTATAATAGTATATATTATTATCTTTACCAAAATAAAGTTATTCTGAATGTTGTTATATACCAACGGGATAACCTCAATATTTCTACGGATAACCTACTTGTAAACTTCAAAGACGAAAACGTACAGTTTTTATACAAATGCACCAAATTACTTGATAGCATTTTGTTTTTCAATACACATTACACCCAACATATGGGCAAAATAGTTAATATTTAATTTATTATCCTTATAAATTTATTATAACATATACATCACTCTATAAATGAAGTTTTTAAATCGTATTTGCACCAGCTTATATCCCTAGCCTCCTTGGGCAATTGTAGATTTTCTGACATGGCCGTTTCGACTTTTGGTTCTCGCATCATCGAATTCCTAGCCAAAGGTTTTTAAGATCGTGTTCGTCGATCAAACGTGTTTTCTGTCGTCGTTATTGGTCAGTTACAATTGTTGGCTCACCAAATTTGCTGATCACCATTAAAAATACGCCTGCAGAAAAGAAACTAAAACATATTTAAAAACCTTATAAAAATGTTGGGAACCGCAGTTTTAGACTAATGATCTTGAACCCGAGAGGCGCTCCACCCTAGGGGCAGGCATGAAAAAATTTCATGGAAAACAGGAATTTCCTTAAAAATCCTCGAAAGATGAAGACAGTTTTTCTGATAATTTATATTTTACTATACTAGTTACGTCATCTTCGATAATTTAGAAAATATTGTTGAGTTCCAAACATCGATATATATTATGCACTATGTATACATATTATGTACTTCAGTTAGATTCCTAGAATTTACCTCTGTAAGTCTGACTTTTCGGCACTCGATTAATGATATTTTAATAATATCACAATTATTATTGTCACCAAAAATTAAAAATATTAAAATTGATCAAAACTAAACAGTGATAACTATCTCATTAGTTTATATTTAATAATTATAAATTAAAAATGTAATAGTTTTAACTTTTAAGTAATATGTAAAAACCGCTATAACAAATAGGTCAGCCAAAAAAATCTGGCACCTGGGCTTTGACCCTTAACCCCGCTCCCCCTAGGCACGCTAATAGTAAAATCATTGATACTCGTGTATATTGATTTATTTGGATGAGATAGTTAATAATTAATATAATAAACATGCAATAATCAATAATCTTTAAACAAGAGGTTCCTGACCGAGAACAAAACCGAAAACCCGGTGTCTTTATATTGTAAATACGGAAGAAAGGAGAATTTAAATTGAAACATTAATATTTTATTATATGTATATGGGCACTAGTTAAATTTCTTACAAAATGACAGCAGCAACTAAATTATGTATGTATTTTTAACATTAGTTTAATTTTACGCCATAATCGAAAAAAATCAATAAAACAACTCGCGCGTGTACTTGTATTTGCATAAGCTAATACTACAAACATATTATAATGATATTGTCATAAGAAATGTAAATTATTTAATTCAATAGACTTGTAATCCAAAAATGATTTTTATTTTTACTGGACAATTTTTTAAACACCATTCAGATTTTACATAATGTGTCATTCCATATTCCACTAATTATGTGTTTTATCTATACAGATTATATTCTTAATAATGGTTTCAAATATTTAAATTAATTATCCTCTGATCTACATAAATGCATAACACGATATTTTTATTCGTTTTAATA